ACTCACAATGCCACCTCCCCTACACACACCCAAAGTACGCTAAGAAACGATAACACTAAGAAAACATGCGTTGTTCAAACGTGCACCCATCTTCACATTAATTATTATATCACTAGGCAAAGAAACACTGTCGCCGTTGTGTTTTGCGGTTCATTTTTTGGAGGCAGGTGTGTTTGTTGTGAGAGAATATAGTTCTTTTGGGGATATTTGGATGGCCCTGAAAAGGGCCGGGGTTTGTTGTGATGATGCGTCCGTCAGATGATCCTTTAGCCACCGAAGCCGTACAGGGTGCGACCTTGGCGTTTGAGAGCGTAGACAACGTCCATGGCGGTGACCGTCTTGCGCTTGGCGTGCTCGGTGTATGTGACCGCATCGCGGATGACATTCTCCAGGAAGACCTTGAGAACGCCTCGGGTCTCCTCGTAGATTAGGCCGGAGATTCGCTTGACCCCTCCACGGCGGGCCAGACGACGGATAGCTGGCTTGGTGATGCCCTGGATGTTGTCTCGAAGCACCTTACGGTGACGCTTGGCGCCTCCCTTTCCGAGACCCTTGCCTCCCTTGCCGCGTCCAGACATGATAGATAGTACGATGGTCTTCTCGATCAGAAAAGAACAAAGAATGAATGAATGACCGAACGACGGAGCCACATTAGTAACCGCCCTGCGGACCTGCGCGGAGTCCTGGCCACCACTACAACTAGCCAATAGGAACACGCCATCCGAACCCCGAGCAAGACAATGCCATGCGGAGAAGTTCACGGCGACAAGACAAACATCGTCGGGAAAATGTAATTGCAGAAAAAACAAACCAAATGAGAAAGATTCGCCCGAAACACAGCTAGTCACCAAGCGATGATAATATTAAGAAGAACAAAGTAAGCAAATACCCCCCCCCAAACACACACACGCACAGATAACACACACACACACACACACACAGATAACACACACTGTTTTCTGGTATGTTTAGATAGGACAAGAACGCCGACCTACGGCCAATCCATGCATATTGTTCTAAGGAACGTCGCAGGCGACATTTGTTCCAGAAGGCCTACTCTATGCCTTGTTCGACAAGAAAGAACGCGTTCAGACTTTTATTACGTCAGAATAAACTTGACTTGTTTTTCTTTAGCTTTCTGTTGTTGTTGTTGTTGTGCGTCGCAGTTCACGCAGGACATAGTCTCTGTTTCTACCGTGTGCACGGGTAGTTTTGTAGCTAGCTGCGGTCACAGGTTAGTGGTGTGTACATGTGTATATTGTCGGAGTGTATATCGTGATTATATTGTGATTGAAACAGGTCTTTTTTGGGGATGTGGGTGGCCTTGAAAAAGGCCGGGGTTGTGTGTAGCAGCGGCGGTGGATCTACTTGGAGCTGGTGTACTTGGTGACGGCCTTGGTGCCCTCGCTGACGGCGTGCTTGGCCAGCTCGCCCGGCAGCAGGAGTCTGACGGCGGTCTGAATCTCGCGGCTACTGATGGTGGAGCGCTTGTTGTAGTGAGCCAGACGGGAAGCCTCGGCGGCGATGCGCTCAAAGATGTCGTTGACAAATGAGTTCATGATGCCCATGGCCTTGCTGGAGACGCCGGTGTCGGGATGCACCTGCTTGAGCACTTTGTAGATGTAGACGCCGAACGTCTCCCTCCTCTTTCTCCTCCTTCCCTTCTTCTTGTCTCCGACCGGCCTGGCTTTGCCAGCTTTCTTGGCGGCTTTTCCACTTGGCGGCATGACGATATTCTTGGCGATTTAGACAGCAAAGAATAACTGCACCCGTTCCGGCTTTGTCTTTTATATCCGGGAAGAATGCAAATTCTTGGATTGTCTAGTCCAAGGTGCGGACGTGGTAGAAATGAACTCGCGGCAATAAGCTCGTCCTATTGGTTCGCTGTCGATCCAGCAGCGGGGTACAAATTGCTTGGGCAGACGATTGTGCTTTTCATTCATTCTTTCTCTGCCGTTTGACGCTAATCAATCCAATACTTAGTATACTACAAGATGTCTGGACGTGGTAAAGGAGGCAAGGCACGCGCCGAAGGCCAAGAGCCGCTCTTCCCGTGCGGGTCTCCAGTTCCCGGTTGGCCGAGTTCATCGCTTCTTGCGCAAGGGAACTACGCCGAGCGTGTGGGTGCCGGTGCGCCGGTGTACCTGGCGGCGGTGCTAGAGTACCTGACGGCCGAGATCCTTGAGCTGGCCGGCAACGCTGCTCGCGACAACAAGAAGACCAGAATCACTCCCCCGTCACCTTCAGCTGGCCGTCCGTAACGACGAGGAGTTGAACAAGCTGCTGTCCGGCGTCACCATTGCTCAGGGCGGCGTTCTCCCCAACATTCACGCCGTACTTCTCCCCAAGAAGACCAGCAAGGCTCAGTAATTTCCAGACGGAGGCCCACATCCCCAAACCCCGGCCCTTTTCAGGGCCACCCACATCCTCTCGAAAGAACTGTATCATCATGCCTACCCTCTACGATTGTTGTACAATAAAGTAATAAAAAATACAGGTCATGAAAAATACAAGTAATAAAACTGCAAATATAGCGCACATGACACTTGTCTACACTTAGTCGCATCCTTGCACGTCCCACTCCTTTCTAAACAAAATACATGATCACACTGCTATATCATGACAGTCCTATTGCTCGCTGACATATCTGTAGATTATACTTTTATTGCACAACATTGCTACACGGTACCAAGTATGTCATCTACTAGTATATATCTTTTTATAGAAGAGAATGAACACGTGTAGTCTAGTGTGTTGTGTTGTTGGCGGGGGGGGGGTTGTCTGCGTTAGTAGTTCCTACTAGGTTTGTTGTTTTGGTTTACATGTAAAGCATGAGATGGTGTTTCTATCTGGTGTTGTCTGTTGTTTGAAGAAACGTGAACGATATAGATCTTTTTGGGATAGGTGAGTGGCCCTGAAAAGGGCCGGGGTTGTCGATCTTGTTCGGATCCTCCTTACGCACGCTCGCCACGGATGCGACGTGCGAGCTGAATGTCCTTGGGCATGATGGTCACACGCTTGGCGTGGATGGCGCACAGGTTGGTGTCCTCGAAGAGACCCACCAGGTAGGCCTCGCTGGCTTCCTGCAGGGCCATGACCGCCGAGCTCTGGAAGCGCAGGTCGGTCTTGAAGTCTTGGGCGATCTCTCGCACCAGGCGCTGGAAGGGCAGCTTGCGGATCAGCAACTCCGTCGACTTCTGGTAGCGGCGGATCTCTCTCAGGGCCACGGTGCCGGGCCTGTAGCGGTGAGGCTTCTTCACGCCGCCGGTAGCCGGCGCGCTCTTGCGGGCAGCCTTGGTTGCCAGCTGCTTCCTCGGGGCCTTGCCTCCGGTGGATTTACGGGCGGTCTGCTTGGTACGTGCCATGTCGGATGAACTTCGTTTGCGCTCAAGTGCAAGACAATGAAAGTAGTCGACCGACGGTGGAGAGTGAATTTATAACGCCCGCTAATTAGATGCCGACAGATTTCAATTGGCCGACACCCTGTCGCCTGATTGGTTCTCTGGTCCAAATCAGACCTTGCAATTGGTCAGTTTTCGCGACTCCAGAATCCGATATTTGCAGCAAGCTCGGCACTTTTGGAAGGGCACACAGGAAAGTGTGAAATTCGGCGCTATAGAACGGTTATACTGGCTTGACAAGTGTACACGCGTGCCTATAGATGGACCGAGGCGACAAGACTATCGTTTCTCAATTGTGAAGTTTGAAGACATTAATAAACAATACTGCCAACAACTGAATAGCCTGCGTCAGCGAAATCAAATTTGTCGGTTAGCATTTAGGCTGTATGTTTCTTCGTTAACACTATCAACATGCGATTGCGACTGTATAAATGTGTGTGTGTGTGTGTGTGTGTTGGGGGGGGGCGTTTGACTTCCATTCATTAACTTTTGCCTTCTTTAATTAATAGTTTTGTATCATTTCTTTCTTTTTTTGCGGGGGGGGGTATCGTGTGTATTTGTGTGGAGAATTGGTAACTTGAAGGTGTCAGACATAGTTCTTTCGTAAGGATGTGTGTGGCCCTGAAAAGGGCCGGGGTTTGAAGGAAATTAGACGGCCTGGTCTTTACTTCTTCGTTGGGCTTGGACGCCTTCTTGGCGGGCGCCGCCTTCTTGACGGTCTTCTTTGCCGGAGTCTTCTTGGTCGGTTTCTTGGCAGCAGGTTTCTTGGCCGGAGATTTCTTGGTCTTCTTGGCGGCCGGCTTCTTGGTCTTCTTGGGGGTGGCTGCCTTCTTAGCCTTGGGCTTTTTCGGCTTGGTGGCCTTGGGTTTTGTGGCCTTTTTAGCTGCAGGTTTCTTGGCCGGCTTCTTGGCTGCTTTCTTGGCGGCCTTCTCTTCTGCTTTCTTGGCTGCCACGTTGATTTTGAAGGATCCCGACGCCCCAGTGCCTTTAACCTGAAGGAGGGTGCCCTTCTCCACCAAGGCTTTCAGGCGGCGCGCTTGATGAAGTGTGCCTTCTTCTCCACGTCGAACTTGTAGTTGGCGGCGATGTACTTCTTGATGGCCGGTACGGAAGAACCAGTGCGGTCCTTGAGTGCTTCCACAGCCGCCGTAATCATGGCGGTGGTGGGCGGGTGAGCCGCGGGGGCCTTGGGCTTGCTAGCCTTCTTAGGGGACGATGCTGCGGTGGACATGTCGACTGGCTTTGTCTGCGTTAGTCGTGCAAATGAACCCGACATCTTGTCAAGGCGGGGTGATGTAGCGATGGTGCGGACGTGATCGGAAACACGCTAGCTTCTTTGTGTCTTCTTGTCCGTGGCGGCGAAATTTGTGTTTCTTTTCTGACTTCACGCTTGAATTTCTCCCTTTCCAGCCATCAAAAAGTGCCTTGTCTCGGTTGATGCACAAGATGACATGTCCATCTTACTCGTCTGACGGAGACCGCAGGCCAATGGCCCTTAGATCTTGAGATATCTGACGTCTTTACACCAAGCACACTCATGACTCCCGAAAAAGTCCATCAAGACGGCTCATAATCATACCCAGTCTGGAAAGAAGCGATTGAATGTATGACTTGAGAAACACCAGGGCTTACGACGCTATGGGATGTTTTTACGACGATACTTTTACTCGCAGCTCATAAACCCCACTGCGCTGCGATCAGAACTCTCTATATGTAACTCCCACACACTCACACTCACAAACGCACCTCCCCTCATACACCCAAAGTACGCTAAGAAACGATAACATGCGTTGTTCAAACGTGCACCCATCTTCACATTAATTATTATATCACTAGGCAAAGAAACACTGGCGCTGTTGTGTTTTGCGGTTCATTTTTGGAGGCAGGTGTGTAGGTGTGTTTGTTGTGAGAGAATATAGGTATTTATTGTCTGACTCTGAGGGTGTTATGTGAAGCAGCAGCGGTCGATTTACTTGGAGCTGGTGTCCTTGGTGACGGCCTTTTTGCGATTGCGTGTATGATACTATATTTTAAAGAAGATATGAAGCATATTGTAAAGTCCAATTTCCGGTGAACTGCATTATCAGCAGTACAATTACTGGCCGCTAGGGTCGTTGGTGTTAGGGGGTTTAACCATCTGGTTGGGTGAAAAGAGTGCAAGAAAGAAACCCCGATAAAAAAGGGTATAAACACACCAAAAATAACCCAAAACCCTAACCTCGGCTTGGAGAGTAGTCTAAGGTTTAGTCTGTTGTTCCCAGTAGGTAAGCTTGCAGGTAGACAGACATTACTATAATATTAGGGTCATGTATGTTTGATTCTTTATTGACTTCTCATTTGTGGATAATACATCCTGGTGTCACAGCCATTTCAACCCCCCTCCCCATGATTTTGGCCCCCCCGCTCTATTGGTTTCACCTCCCCCCGCCCCTTAGGGCGAAATTTCCATCTATTTGGACTCTCCGTGGGGGGGGGGGGTAAGAGGCGAAATCGCTGTGACACCGGCATGTGTAAATAACCAAATTTAAAGTGAACAACTATGAGAATGGACCGTCATTAGTTGAGTATTAAGGTAATTATATCGCTGTGACACCGGCATGTGTAAATAACCAAATTTAAAGTGAAGAACTATGAGAATGGACCGTCATTAGTTGAGTATTAAGGTAATTATATCGCTGTGACACCGGCATGTGTAAATAACCAAATTTAAAGTGAACAACTATGAGAATGGACAGTCATTAGTTGAGTATTAAGGTCGTGCCGGACAGCCTAAGGTGACGTATTGTGTTGGTTCTGCCTGGCGGAAGTCCAGCGTTTCTCCTGCAAACACCAGAGACTCCAAACAGCCCAGGAAGGGAGTCTGTGTTAAACCTGGCGAAGCCATGGAGGCTGCAACTGCAAATGAATACAAGATTATTGAGAAAGATTACCATCAGCTGCAACACATTAAGTTGGCACATAATTGAACACTGATAAGTTAACATTCAATTTGTAACTACATTTTATATTTTTGACCTCTGTGAGTGTGACACATTCAAATACGTTATTCAAATACCCTATGTATGAAGTTCCAGGCGGTTACAATAGCTGAATTACAATATATTCTCATTAATTATGCAAATTAAGTCTTAATTTACATAATCAATTTCTGACTGTGTTTCTCTTGTTCTCAATTACATATGCCACAAGCTTGAATAGTCCTATCATGTAATGCAACTGATATAAACGTATATAAAATGTGACTGATTATTAGGCCACAGCAAGTAAATTTTATGGATGACTTCCTCCACAGACTCCAAATCTAATGCGATAGGGCACAAAAAGGTGGGCCAAGAAAACAAGATTCCTACATTTTCAAATTTTTACATCATAAACCTTGTTAAACATGAACAGTTACTGATACCCATATTGTGCTAGGTTTACTGCCAACTATTACAACATCCATTGTCACTGAAAAATAAAAGGTTTCAATCATTGTACAAAATGGTTTTGATTCGGTGGGAACACCACATATAAAAGGAATGAAATACATCACTGCATCAAAGTAAAAGACAAAACAATAAATCAGAGCCTTGTCTTGTCTCCTCTCTTCATATCTATCTGCCATCCACGTTCTGGCATGGCAACAGACATCTATGCCCACTTTTGGCATGTTGACCACTGTCAGAGTGCAACAAATTTTTTTTCCAAAATCAGGCGAAAATCATTGTACGCGCTGATGTCATCCATAAAGATTACTTGCTGTGGCCTTATAGATATCTATTGATTGAGTTAGTGACTAAAGATTGGTCAATGGACCTATACCATTATTACGTCACAGTTTGTTTACCTGTTCTAAAGAACATTCTAGAACGGTCAGTTAAAGAATAAAGATCATTTCAAAGTTTTCAAAGTAAGGTATGTCTGATTTTTGCTGCGTCTAGTTGTGTTGACACAGCATTACATGCCACATGGGTGATTTAGTTGTGACATTGGACGAAAGTAGTACTGTATTAAAAGCCTTATATTAGGCTAACGCTACACAAACACACATCGCGCTACGCACCCCTGTACAATATAAACGTCGATTGACCGGCATTCATTGC